TACAGGAATGATAATGTGAAGGACACAGGGAAAACACCACATAATAACAGAGGTAGAGGTTGGAGTGATGCATCTATAAACTAAGGAACCCCAAAGATTGCCAGCAACCAACAGAAGCTAGGAGAAGGGAATAGAACATTTCCTCCCTCAGAGACTCCACAAGGACTAACCTTGCCCATGACTTGATTTCAGACTTCTAGCCTCACAAACGGTGAAAAATAAATTTCTCTTGTTTTAAAATACTTGGTTTGTAGTATTTTGTTATGATACATCTGGGAAAGTAATGCAAATGTCAAATTATACTGCTTACAGAAAGATCAAGAAAGTTAAGGAGGGGAAGTGACTATCTGGTTTAGCATGCAGGTAATTGATAGGAGAGTACATTAACTGAAGAGTATAACATTTAATACCTAAAATTTTCATTTTGAGTAAAGGAAAGAAAATATTTAATTTACATATGTCATTAAAGTAGCTCATCTAGGAAAGTAATAGGAGGTAAAAGTGGTAATTATAAGGGAATGTGGCCAAGAAAGGCTCTTTTAATGTAGACTCTTAGATATGTTTCATTACTAAAGAAAAAGGGAAAAAAGAATGAGATGTTGAAGAGTGGGAAAAAGAGGAATGACTGAAAGAAAAAGTAGCACAGATCAAAGAACGGGTTTTAGGATGGGAAAACCCACTGTAATTGAGACAAAAACAATGAAAAGATGGCTAAAATGCACAGAAATGTCAAAATTCTTGGCTGATGATTTTTAATTTTGCAGATACACTGGAGACAACATCACTTGCTGAGTATGAGAAGGAAGGTGTAGAAGAAAGAGATTTGAAGACATGATGGGAATATTGGAAATAAGAAGTGATTTCAACTCCACATGGAAAGAGTGTCTGGTGAAGTACAAGAATTTTTAAGGAGGGCCTGTCAGCATAATTAAGTGGAGGTACATTGATTGATTGCCAGCAATGCTCAGTAGCTTGATTGTAGGACCTCAAAACTCAAAGGGTGAATTGACTGAATAAAATTGCAAAACTAAACTGATGAAATAACAAAGGAAAGAAGTATAATACAAGGGTCAAAGGGCTAGACTATGATGATCTGAAATCGGCAAGGAAGAAAAAAGTATCTCAACATTGTAGGAAACAATGAACATACTAACACTAAAACTGTGAGAGAACTGTCGAGTAGAAGATTGCTGTCAGAGACAGAAATCTGGAATTTTGACAAGCTCTTCTTCCCCAAAATAACTCCTCCACTGGCCGGCAAGACAACCTGAAATTTTACCCTATTATGCTTATCTTTGGGAGGCCTCTTATAATAAAAATTCAAGTATGAAATATACCACACTAAGTGCCCTGGAGAGATAAAAAAATAATCAACACATGGCAAGTATCCATTTTCTTTATAATAGTTAACAAATAACTAAGGCATATTGCCAGTAGGTATTCTAAGCAAAATATGGGGAGGAAATAAGGTTTAGAAGAAATATAATTTTCTAAATATAATACTTCATAATGAAATAGACAAACTTATTGGTCATTAGGAATAAATAGCAAGCAATAGTTAGCATTAAGAATAAATAGTAAGCATACAAATGATCATAATTTGTATTATACTTATGTAGTTATCTAAAACCTGTTAACATCTTCTATCAAGTTGTATATTGTGCTTGACTCATACATCCTCATACATTTGCATAAGTGCATGCTCATACCCATTGCCAAGTTTTAAATGCCAGAATGTAGGATACTACTCTAACAGTCATTTTCTGATGTTCTACCATTTCTTTTGCCCTCTCTGCTCCTTCCCTCAGTACTCTAAGGCTAAGATTTTGGATATCTTATAGTAAGAGAAAAAGCGTGAAGAATAATCAGGAAATCAACTGAATAGGTTCAGATAAGAGCAGGATTCAGAACCTAGGCTACAACAAGCAGATATTCCACCAAATTATCTTAGTCAGAAAATCTCATCTTCAGGTATGATCTCCTCAACCTTCTCTTTCTCTAAGGCGTACACTTTTGCTAAGTCTTTCTTTTTGAAATCTCATTCCATTTTCACACACAATTTTTTTTAATTGGATACTGGGGATGACTGTACTTTTACTTTTTATTTATTTAAAATATTTTCAAAATTTTATTTTTTATTAACAAATAATAATTTTACATATTCATGGGGTACATATTTTGCTATGTACCTATTTTGATACGTACAATGTATAGTGATCAGATAAGGGTAATTAGCATGTCCATCTCAAACATTTACAAGAGAAGTTGGCACAATCCAGAATCCAGTGGGCACCACATTCTCTTACACAGTAAAACACTCCCATTTTTGTCTGTACTTTCCTATTTCTGTTTCTGTACCTAACTTAATGTGAAAAAATACTGCTAGACTCTAGGCTTCATGAGAATAGAATTCATATATAACTGCTTCATTGCTATGCTCCCAGTACCTGGCATAGCACCTGGAAAGAAGTATACTAATACATAGCTAAGAAATGATAGACAATGAATTATCACTGATCCCTCTTGGGGTCAAGGAAGATTCTCCATAGGTAAGGCAGACAGAGAAGGAAAGCCATGCCCTGAATCCCTCCCTTTCTCTGAAAGGAATAAATTTTTAAACTTCTTTCATTAAATCTATTTCTAATTCCATCATTATCCTTTTTTTCTTGTAATATCCCCTTTACTTTGTACAAACCCAATGAAGGCAAAACTGAAAAATTAAAATGTATTATAAGGAAAGCAACAGTAAAATGAGTGTATTTCTACACAACTAAGTAATTTTTCAACTTTAAAAATCTGATCAAAACATGCTTAATTACCAAATCACCACATAACCTATTTTGTAATCTTGAGTAAGCAGGTGTGTCATAGAGATATATTTTTAATGTGTTTTTAATTGCATTGGGAAAGGAAGAGGCTTTCATTTGTAACTCAAATAATTTCTAGATGATGAATTAGAACAATGAAGTAATCTTTCAAAAGAAAATGGTTAAACAACTGGAATTAGTAAGCAGAAAGTGCTAATCTTATTGACTTTGCCTGTGATTTATCACATATTTTCACAGGCCTCTCAGAAGAAAAGGGAAATAACATTTGATAATTATCACGGTTAGCATGCATTTATTTTGAAGCAGGATTGTGTCGAGGCTGTGATAATAACTATCAGGTTGCTTAAAATTATTTTTATACACTAGACACTTAGTCATAATAACTGTAAGAAGGAAAACCCTATTCATCACTAGGCACCTTAAGTCCAGTTGTCCAATCATCACAGCAGGTTCTTTGAAGAGTATATTTTAAACTAGAAAACTAAAGAATGCAGAAGGGCCAGGTACAGTGGCTCATGCCTGTAATCCCAGCATTTTTGGAGGTCCAGCCCTTTGGAAGGCTGAGCTGGGAAGATTCCTTAAGGCCAGGAGTTGGAGACTAGGCTAAGCAATATAGCGAGACCATGTCGCAACAAAAACAACAACAACAAATTTAAATTAGCTGGGTGTGGTGGCACTGGTGGCACATGCCTGTAGTCCTAGATACCTAGCTACTCAGGAAGCTGAGGAGGGGAAGGATCGCTTGAGCCAGGAGTTGAAGGCTGCAGTGAGCCTTGAATACACCACTGCATTCCAGCCTGGGTGACAGAACTAGGAAAACAAAAAAAAAGAAAAGAAAAAAGCAGAAAATGTACAAATCCCAAGTTACCTTCTCTTGTTAAACTTGTTGATCAAATCCCTTTCACCTAAACATGTTTAGATGTAATACACAATGATAACTAGAGGGAAGGGGGTTTCCTCTGGCCTGCTGTTGTTGAGGGAAGCCTGTAGAAACTATCCTGTAATTATACTGTAAGTGAGATTTCTTTAAAAACTCATTTTTAAATGACAAGAGAGAGGTTCAAACAGTTTAAGTATATTCAGTAGGTTGCTAAATGTATGTTTAACCCTAAATTTATACACAAGCACCCAGGATGCTAAAAAAGGAGTTTCGACTCTGCAACCTCTTGATAAATTTCCTGAGATTGGTCAAAGGACAGACTATGTCCTTTCAGCTTGCACTCCACCGAGCACTTTAGCTCACTTATTCTCAAGCAAAGCTCAGAAATCAGATCCTGCCCATCTTTCCGGAAAACCCAGGTATTTATTCAGTTACGATATTCTCATCAGTGTATTCTCATGGTCAAGCCCTGAAAACTAAGCTTAGCACCGTATGTCCAGAACCCTGTAACCAAGAGCGTGTATTCACAGTGCTTATTGGATACGGTCAACCCAGGGAAATGTAGAGATCTGTCTCGTTGTCGTGTTTCAAGAAAATGTACTCCTTGGGATTGGCGATTTACCCTCAGTGTGCTATGACATTCCAGAATCCTCCAGGAGAATCCGGAGTCTCCAACTGCCTGCTGGGAACGGGGTCAAAGGGACGGATTTCTAGTGATAGAGATACAGGAAGAGGGAAATGGGTGGATATGGAAAGCGGGAGCGAGATGAAAAGAGATCTGAGACGAGAGAATATGAACACCAGAGCAGAAAGTTGAATGAAATTCAAAACTCAGGGACACCTAAAAACGTTTGCGGCTGACTGTGCCCACAGCCTGCGGCAGTCTACACTCATGCACACTCTCCGAAAAATCAGCAGAATCTTGCCCTTGCCTCATGGGTGAATGGTTAATTTGTGCAGGAAGGAACAGCCCCCAATACGTGTTTGAGAACAGGGACCTCAGCAAAATATCCTGAAGTTAAAAGAAGGCAAAACAATCTTGGAAAGATTTTGATTATAGCTGAGGGAGTGCAGCCCTCCCCTGCGCGGGTCAGCTTGCCAAGCTCCAGCTGCTTGTAGCGAATGAATGAAATGCAAAGGGCGGGATGGAGGGAGGGAGTGCAATCACAGCCAGCGAAGGGGATAGTCAGCTCCGCGGACCCCACAACGTCACCGAAGCGTGGGACTCCATGAGAGTATAAAGCGCGCCTGCAGCTCAGGATGCTCAGTTCTCCCGTCTGTGCCGGGCAGCTGGCGCCCTCGCTAGTTGTGGTGTGACGCGATAACCCTTAATCTCGGGAGGATCTCATCCTTTCTGCCTGCCAGAGCCGCAAGTTCCTTTGAGAAAGTGCGACTCTTGTCCCCTAGCACCTACTGCATCCTCTAACCAGCAGGGATTGCAGTATCTTTCAGCTTCCAGTCTTATCTGAACATCCCGGCACCAAAGTGACCAGGAGGCAGAGAAGAACTTCAGAGGAGTCTTGTCTTGGGCTGCTCGTGGGTGAGTGGGAAGGTCCGTGACTGCAGATCGGTGGCGATGGCCACTCTCCCAGCAGCAGAAACCTGGATAGACGGGGGTGGAGGCGTGGGTGCAGACGCGGTGAACCTGACTGCCTCGCTAGCTGCCGGGGCTGCCACGGGGACAGTTGAGACTGGGTGGCTGCAACTGCTGGACCAAGCTGGCAACCTCTCCTCCTCCCCCTCCGCGCTGGGACTGCCTGTGGCTTCCCCCGCGCCCTCCCAGCCCGGGGCCAACCTCACCAACCAGTTCGTGCAGCCGTCCTGGCGCATTGCGCTCTGGTCCCTGGCGTATGGTGTGGTGGTGGCAGTGGCAGTTTTTGGAAATCTCATCGTCATCTGGATCATCCTGGCCCACAAGCGCATGAGGACTGTCACCAACTACTTCCTTGTGAACCTGGCTTTCTCCGACGCCTCCATGGCCGCCTTCAACACGTTGGTCAATTTCATCTACGCGCTTCATAGCGAGTGGTACTTTGGCGCCAACTACTGCCGCTTCCAGAACTTCTTTCCTATCACAGCTGTCTTCGCCAGCATCTACTCCATGACCGCCATTGCGGTGGACAGGTGAGGAGAGGACAGACAGAGAGGAAAGAGGGAGAAGGGAAAGAAAAGAGTTGGGTGGTGGGATAAGATTACAAAGGAAATGGTAACGTAACGGGGTCTACAAAAGTAAAGAGACTAAGAATTTTTGCTGAAAGGAGGACACTAACCCATTTGTAGCCCTCGAGTGACTGAACAAGTTTCTGCTTCCGTGGCTTCCGACACTCAAGTCCTAAATCATTGAGCCTTACTAAGGATATCTAGAGGGACTGAAGAAGGTGAATGAGGGAGAGGTTAAAATGCCATTCCAAGTAGGGCAAACTTAGCCCGAAAACTTTAAGTACCAGCAAACTTTCTCAAATGACTTTTGAACAAAATTTATGTCATCTGTAAAGTGCACTTTTTGGCCTTCCTTCTCTCTGTCAGTCACTATTCTGGGCAGAGAAATGGTAAATGAGTCGCCTCTCCATCCTTCCTTCTTCTGTCTGTTCCTCATCCTCATCCTTCCCTGTTCCCTAGTCTTGCCCCAAGGCCAGCACTGGTTTGGTCTCCCAATCACCGAGAACTAGCAAAGGCCACACACACTCTCCAAAAACTACTGTAAACTAGCAGGTTCCACCACATCTCAGATTAGATTTGATTTCCAGTAATCTGCAGAGGCTATGAACTTAGTAAACCCTGTGTCTGCAAGTGTGTAACCAAATTTTTAAAAACTGTGTGCACTTGCCTTCTCATATTGAACATTATGAAGTATAGGTATTTGTGGAAACACAATGGTGAATCCCTACCTGTTACTGAAGGCTAGCTGCACATTAATTCAACTATGTGGTGAAAATGAACCACAGCAGTTGATTTCAGTCTCAGCTTTGTGAAAGGCAATTGCATGGAGGATACATGAGGGTGATCTCACTTTAACTTGAAGTCTCAATGCTCTTACTCATGCAAAGATTATTTTCAAACATTAACAAACCTATATCAAAATAAAATGGAGATAGATATTAATTCTTATGACATTTCAGCTGCCATTATAATTTAAAAAATAAGAAAAAAAAAACAGGTTATCTCCATAAGTTCATCTAAGTTCATCCTCTGTGTTTACTATTTTGAAATACTGAGCACTGAGGAATTAGTAACATATATCTCTAGAAAATATTTTCTGGTGCCAGGCCCAAAGGTTTAAATTGAAGGAGTAGAGGTTAGTAGCCACTAACTAGAATAAACACAAAATCACACGTTTTAAAAAGCCTCTAAAATTGTCAATCTTCCCTTTCTCGTTTATCTCTGATTATCCACACATATGCACCCCTTCATTTCTAGTATGTATAGGAGTGCAAAGAATGAAAAAAAAACAGACTCCAGTTGGGAAATAAGTGAAATTGCCTCTAATCTTTTACACCAAAATAGAAATAAGTGTTCCTTTTGTTTGAGCAGCTTCCTTGCTTGTTTTGCTTTGTTTGTTTGTTTTCTTTTTATTTCTTATAGTATTTTTTGATGTTTTGATTAGGGGAGAGGTATTAGCATATAATGTTATAAAATTCTTACAATCTTCTTGGAAGGTTAATGATGCAATATAAACTTTGAAGAAAATGTAAGTGCATGTGAAATCTGTATTTCTATTGTGAAGGGGAAAAAAAAAGGTTATATTTTTCTCTTTCCAATTTCTTCCTGCCAACATTTATGGGATGGTCTTGGAGTTATTTTAAATAATCATTTAGTGCTATCTTATTACAGTCATTGGTTTGAATTAATGAATACTGTTAATCTTTGCTATTTCTTTATGTAAAACATTAATCATTAAAACAACAAATTTAGAGTATACAATATGCTATAAAATCTGAAGCATACTCAGTTCTTGTACTGAAAATCTCTTTTAAAACTATTATTTAAAAGAACATTCTTATTTGAGCAGTTGACAAAAAATACAGAAATAGAGAAAAGCTGGTTTAAAATAGTTTTTAAAATCAAAAAGTATACAAAATATAACAATTATTAAAACTCTCAATAGTTTGCCAGTCCAATAGTTTACCAATCTTTCTGCATTGGTGTCTTATCAAACATGAACTGTAAAAACTGACCCTGTGCTGTTCTCAGTCATTTTATAGGGTAAAGAAAACCCTTCTGAGGTTGACACCTGAATGACGTGATATTTTCAATCATTTTATAGGATATATTTTATAAGTTAAAGAAAACCTTTCTGAGGTTGACACTGAATCATGCTGCCTTCTTCATGGACTTACTGCCTCATTTAGCTTAGAATATACTGAACAATATATATTTCCCAATTTAGACTACAATTGAAGTGTGAAAACTTCAATTAATTAATTTTGAGTGTTTTCTATCCCCACTTAATATAAACTGAATTATATCAACCTACCCTAAATGGAAAATATATTCAGTTCACTTTGTTCCTCTGCCTAAAATCAAAAGACCCATGATCCTCAAAATAATTGCAACTTTGACTTGGGCACTTATGGCTTTTGTTCAGCTGTAGCAAAATGGTTGCAGCCTCTTATTACTCTGAGAGATATTAGACCTGAAAAGAATGGCAGATATTCCCTCAGTGAACACCCGTACCTTACAAATGGAGAACCTTAAGCTAATGGTCACACAATTGTTATAATAAAAGGCATTGAGTTTTCCTTGAAGTGTTCAGCACGCATTTTGTACTGGAAAAATTACTTACTTTCTGTTTTCACGATTTAAATAATATTAGTAAGTTTACTAGATTTGAGTGTGAGATCACCAGTTCTGGTCTTATTCTGAAGCACATTAACTTCTGATTTGCTACAAAGTCCTGCAAAACTGTTTTCTAATTAGCCAGCAATCCATCTTCCAGTTATACACATTTCCTTCTTCCCTGGAAGTCTACTTTACCACTACCAGTATCTGTCTCCTCACCCCTATACCTCCAACACACACACACACACACACACACATACACTTACAAGATGAAATTATTTGTCAGTGAAGAGTTGATTTTCTCTCCACCATCCTTCCCCAATTTGCCATTTTGAAAAATAACATTTAAATATAACACTTGCCTCAAAGATGATAAGCCTGTCCAAGATCATGCGGTAGAGCCAAGATTCAAATCACTGCACTCTGCTCCAGGGCCAGTGATTCTCTTCACCTCTACACTATTATGACACCTAACAAGTTGTGATGACTGCAGGGTTTGATTAGACAAAGTCATTATCGTTGATCAAATCAGAATTTAGTACTTGTTTAAACTGTATACCTTACCTGTATATATAACATAACTTACAAATATATATATATATCCTATGTTTTACTTGAGAAAGTAGAAGCTAGAAAATCATTAATAGAACAGTTATTACAATACAAATACTGTGATTTCTATTCATTTACAGCATATAGTACTTGATGTATGGTCATATTAGAAAATAGTTACATACTTTCTTTCATTTTCTAAGCACATGCTTTGAGATTAGATTAGAAATTATAGGAAGTTTTATTATAACATATAGAAATGAAAATTTCAACACATATGATCCAGTATTTTTCTGAGTATTTAATTAAATATTTTTTTTTAAATCACATACACTGTTTCTTGTAAACCTTAAGGGAATGTGTTAGTCTGTTCTCACGTTGCTATAAAGATATACCTGAGACTGGGTAATTTATAAAGAAAAGAGGTTTAATTGGCCGACAGCTATACAGGAAGCATAGTGGCTTCTGCTTCTGGGGAGGCCTCAGGAAACTTACAATCATGGCAGAAGACAAAGCAGGAGCAGTAGTCGTACATGGCAGGCAGGAACAGGACCAAGAGTGAAAGGGGGAATGTGCCACACACATTTGTACAACCAGATCCCACAAGAACTCTATCAGGAGACAGCGCCAAGAGGATGGTGCTTTACCATTCATGAAGGATCCAACCCATGATCCAATCACCTCCCTCCAGGCCCCACTTCCAACGTTGGGGATTACAACTGGACATGAGATTTGGGTGGACACAGATCTAAACCATATCAAGGAGTAATTACTGTTTTATCTAATTGTTCAAAAACTTTAAGAAAGATAGCAAAAAAGATGTTATTGAAATCCAATGGCATACCTTACATGAATAATTATTTAAAGGAGTGTTCACCAGGAGGCAGAGCTTGCAGCAAGCCGAGATGGCGCCACTGCATTCCAGCCTGGGCGACAGAGCGAGGCTCCGTCTAAAAAACAAACAAACCAAAAAAGGAGTGTTCAAGAAAACTGCGTAAGAATAGTAATGGCCAAGTAGATACAAATTGGCCTTCTATGCTACCCTTTGTTGTTTTTAATTTATTTGGTAATCTTCTATCTCACTTTTTCATAAACCTAATTTATGCAAAGTACTCAAAGATCCCCTAGGAAGAGCTTTTGAAATTTATTCTGAACAAATACAAATATACAGTCATGAGAAGTACTGCGGCCTTAATCTAGTAACAGGTTATCTAAATGTATTGTGGTAAATTTTGCATCATTATCAACATTATTGATATAAACTCTTTGCTAAATCTTTAAAAAATAATTTTTCAGTCTTTAATTTGAGTTCCCAGTGCAATATCCTTCCTCTGCACCCTAGGAAAAGTCACTGTCCATGCAATTAATACTCTTTATTAGTGTTATAGTTACACTTGACTCACTATCACTAGTTACCTCAAATGATGAACTTTTTAACTTAAGATCAATTGTTACATATTTTTGAATTATTTACAAAATAGTAACTATAACTATAGTAAAATTAACTTTCAGGAAACTTATCATAACTGTTTGACTTTTTCTAAAATTTGTAATTCTCATTCAAGAATTTAAAAATATCCCATTTCCACCCACTAAAATTACTGCTCTAGTGAGTTGTCAAAGTTAAGTTAAAATTATAATGCCAAATCTTATAAAATTGTAAGCAAATAGTGAAAGCAATAAATATATATTAATTGAATGGGTAATAAGATTATCCCAGAATCATATGTAATCAGAGGTCGTTCTTTTATAACTAGCTGAACTCCGGCTGATATCAAGGTTACATTAACCAC